TAGAATGTCGCCCGCACTCTCTCAAGCGAATTCTTGTCGCGAATAATGCTCAATTTGAATACTTTTTTCCGAAAAATTGAAATCTTATTCCTTTCGCAATATTATCAACCATGTGCATCATTTTGCAAAGTTGTCCAGATCTTTCTCACTTCTATGCTATATGTCTGCACCCTAGGTTTTTGCACTACGAATCGTTTCCTCCGGCGGGTATTCATATCCTTGAGGACGTGTAAATATAGATGACACTTGAGGCCAGGAACTGATTTAACGAGAATTTGTTGCCAGATCAATTGATGTCAATATACAACAGAGCAAGTCCTGATTAAAATCAGTTGCTTAATGTTGGAAATCTAGACTCAGCATGTATGAAGGTTTAGATTTCTAGGTATTATCATCAAGATCAATTGAGTTGATTCGATTGAATATGATTAAGCTCAGTTGGACGAAATAAGATTCAGTGGCATCTGGAATGCAGTGGCTAGGAAATGCTACCTTGCGATAATTGAGTGGCTGGTTGTTGCTAGATCACTAGGAGTTCGGGATCTGTATTTAATGATAGACTCATCTGTATATGTAAAAATAAGTTAACGGAGTATGATATATTAATAATTCATATTGAGAAGAGAGTTCGATATCACATACAACTATCAATAAATTCTTATCCGAAATTGTACACTCGTTCTTCGAGATATTTCCTCCTAGAAATCCTTGACAATTTCTAACACTTAATGAACCCTTTGGGAAGAAAATTTCCTACTTCTCGCTGTATACATAGGGATTTGTAACTATCAGCGCCAATCATAAAAATCTATGTTGCTAAACAACCATATTCAGACCGCAACGATGGTAGCCCCCGTAGCTAACTACACTCAGACCCCTTTTTTAACGATTTAATCTGGGTCGTGAAAAATATCGTCATGTAGATATCGCTTTAAAGGATATGATCATATAATCCGGCTATCTAGGCTACTTTGTACATTTGATGCCTCTTGTCTACTCCCAATTGCCGTCTTTAATCGCTCCAACACTCTCAAATAGCTCGAATTAAGAGAATCTTGACTCTCAGTATACCCAATCAAAACTTTCAGAGCCATTTCGGCCTCTTTTGCTGTCGCAAAGTGTTGTGGAAAGTGTAACGGTTCCAGTATATAAAGTTTGGGCGTTTGTATGTCGAAAAGTATATTTATTTATTAACTGAAGAACAAGAGTAATGCTACATCTAACGCCCTATATATTTATGATCCCAATATTTCAAACACTAGTAGCTGTCCTCCAGTCGTGCCCCCGTTATTAAGGTGTGCGCTAGTTTCCAACAGCGTCTCAAACACGGGCAGTTCCCGACTTTCAATACGAGCGCAACTTAGTGCTGACACTATGAATATGTCTGTGCTGAATAGCGCAGGCTACAGGGATTTTATCGGCTCACTAGCCGTCACAGAAAGTAAGGATTATATCATTTGAATTCATCGATTTTCTTATCTTAATTGTTCACTACTTATATAAGTTTCAGTGAACCATTGATGTCAGAGCTATATCCGATCAGATAAACTTGTTGACAACAAATGATATCAGAACAATTACTTCACATGCAATACCAGAATGATTACATCATGTATGACATCTCGCAACCGAGCCTTCCTATCTATTGACTGGATAAACTATAGAGCCACAGCTTGGCATTGGACTCTGTCAGGAATTGTACAAGAAATAAACAAGGCGCGATAGCAAGAACCTTGATTTCTAACACAAAGGCTGTTCGTTTTGTAATACTTCTTCTTCTTCGTCTTGATTTGTTCCCAAATGTTCCCCTATCACTTCTTGTAAGATCATTACCCAGTCAAGCATCCAATTCCCTTCCTCTTCCCCCTCAATTGGATTAAGGAAATTGTCTATTGCCATTGAATCTCATGTCTCCAGATCCGACTACCTCATTAAACAATTCAGAAAGTCCAGTCGGAAGTATAGACGTAGGAAGAGCAATTGGCTTAGAAATAAGAGTCGATTTCCGAAAGCAATTATGAATCTTTATATTAGTAACTTCTTTATTCCAACTTCGTTAGATCCAGCGAATTGCTAGTCGAATATTGACATTTAATTGTGGATTTGTACCTTCTTCAATTGCTTGTAGAACAAAGCGGAGCCGGTACCGCCTGTAGAATACTTTGCAGTTCTGAATAATACCTTGATCAAGAGGTTGGTACCGACTTGTACTATTAGCTGGAAGCCAACAGATCTTGATGTTTGACGGAGGAGGGTATAATTCAACGGCATAATAATGGGCAGAAAATTATCCATTGTCAATAGTACATCTCGGGCATTTACAATGTGGCGATAGAATTCTTGAAGCCATTCGCCCATAATTGCTGTGTTCATCCATGCTTTGGAATTCCATCTCCACTTTCCACCCATTGCCTAAATACCAACGTTTTTCAAGGCCCGAGGCGTCTTATATTTGCCAATAATCCAAATAGGAAGTCGGTCAGAGCCTGTAGCATTCGTACAAAAACAGAGAGAAACTCGGTCCTTGTTTTTCTCGAGTCCGGGTCGAGATTGTGACAATAGCCCACGTGAATGTAGCATTTCCCAAGAGAGACCTAACTCATCCATGTTGTATATGTTTTCTTCCTCAGACTCTCCTACAATTGTCTGTAAAGCTTTAATTTCGGCTTCTACAGCTGCTGGAATTGGACCAATTTCACCGTGTCATACCCGATTCTGAATATGGTTTCGATTCTTGAAATTCTTAAGCCGGCGAGCGCTGAATTCAGGGCATGGATGGATAGCGTGCTGTGGTAATTGTGTCCAGATTTGCTTTACCTTCTCACGGAGCAAATCCCCAGTTGTGATCCCTCCTCCTTCTTCAACTCGTATTTGCCACTCCAGGAGAATACTCTCAAGGTCAGGCCAGTTTCCAGCTCGCTGTCGTAGCGCAGTAGTACTTGTAGCTTCGTCGAGTTTCGCAAAGGTCTTGCTCAAGGACTCGGAGACTGTGTACTGGCTTAATCGATGGCCGTACTCAGCGAAGAACCACTCGATGCACTGTTCTTGTGTTGGTTTTGGGAACTGGCGGTGCGCTCATCGTCGCAGAGCACGTCGTTGCTTTACAGAAATTCCCTTTTTTGGCGGCATTATTAGCAATAATCTAGCAAAAAAACCCTGGTTAAGACGATGTTTAGAGGTTGAAGAAGGATAATCGAGTAATCGGCATATACATAGGAACGAAGTCCGATCCAGAAAATATATCGTATAAACGGCAATATCGTCCTAACAGGGGTCTGACTGTACGCCTTATATTCCATCCCTGACGTACTGGCGTAGATAGCACAAGCCCAAGGGAGTAATCCCGTTACAGAACTTTAGACTTTAAACGAGTGTTGGTAAAACACGAAGTAATACAAATTGGGTGCCGTCACGAAGTCGGTGAATAAAATCAATTAACTGGTGTCTCGAAATACATAAAACGTTGTCTCCATCTTCCCATCAACTCCAAGCGCCTCGCTACTGAGCTAAATCAGATCCTTGTCAGAGTCCTAAAGATATCCTGAACACCGTAATCACATCGAACAATTCATAACGCCCAAATATAATCTTTTTACCGACAACGAAGGTGTACTTGGCCGTACATTCGGATTTGATACTTTGGTGGGAATCTATCTCGCTGGGGGAAAGAGATTGATGTGGTGGAGAGCCTTATATCGTTGATTCGTGGACCAAGATCTCTGGTATTGCAAAGTTTGACTGAACTTGATCCTGAAGCAAACATTCATTTCTAGTTTAGTAGGATATTGCGAACAGGTGATTATTTTATATTTCATTTTAGCTCTATTATTTACCTATAGCTTTTGTGTTTACAATCATATTTCATCGATTGCAACCACCAGAAAACAGAAAATACAGTAGTAGTTATGCCGATATCTTTCACAGATTCAGCATCATATGTTGAAAGTAGGTTCAAAATTATGTAAAAGAACTAAAATCGTTCGATTCCTCTCCGAGCAAGGAGTTCAATTCAATTTTTTGCGTTGTAAGCTTGAGTTTTTATAATTCTTTTCGTAATGGCTGGATCTCTAAATTGTGTTGATCCTTGTGTCTTATCTGAGCATTGAATGTGTCATACATAACTCTTGCATGAAATCAACAGGCAAATCACAAGTTGTGGTGTTCCCTCAGATTAAAGTATTTCATATTATTAAAATCATGCTAGAGTCCAGATGCTTTGACCTTAATTCCTATATTATATTAAAATTAGGGTTCTCAAGCTTGGTTCTTAATATGTCGTGCATGTAGAAATTTTCGAATGCACCTGGAGAGAGTTAATAGTTCAAAAGCTAACTGTTTAGACATATTCATACCGACCTAAACTGTAGTTAATCTGACATTTCGTAACTACAATTTCTCAGAGGTCAATGTAGAGATCTTATAAAGAGTTGAACTATAGATATTCAACACACTGATGTAAATTATTACCAACTTTAATCAATTAAAAACTGATGGTCAACGATCAATTGAGCGATGTAAATTTAAGTCTCTACTGACTCCTAGAATATCAAAGACTAAAAAAGATGGTTGATGACACTTTGGTAAGTCCTCCGAAAATGGATCAAACACCAATCTGTCGTTCTTTGAGAGCTTTATAGATAAATAGGAGTTGCTGATCTGCATCAATTATTGAAAATGCTCCTTGTATTTCGTTGTCTGAAAAGACAAGCTTAATGCTTATCCTTATTATACAATAATGAGTTAATTCTTCACTACAGACTTTTTGTTGTCTTTGGTTAATAATTAACTAAATTAGCTGTATCAGAGCCTCTCTCTGCCTTGTATCTCAATGAACAAATTTGTCAGCCCTACCCACGCAGACAGAGGTAAGTCGCGATGTCAAATTCAGCTTTGACTGCGAAAGAGTGTAAGTAAAATCCTGGCAGATAAAATATAGATACGAGATAATGGCGAAATTTCCTGTGTCGTTGATCCAACTGCAGCGGTCTATGAATGGACCCTTAGGCTTCACTGGAGGTAACTTTTGAGCGATAAAAGTTTTTATATTTAGTACACGGACGATAAACGATATATTTCTTGCAACGGTATCCTTGACAATTGCGATCCTTATTGACAACCTTTCTCAGAATAACGCCATAAAATATACATCTAATATCTATTACGATCAGGTTGTTCTCAGAACTTCGCCAGAATTTGAGGCTCCCTATGTCGAAGTAAGATTCTGTAATAGGACAAACGAGGAATGAAAAACCTACATCTGTGGTAAATTTTACCACTGGGTAAAATGGGATAGACAAAGTAATGTCCGTACTTTTTTTTGGCCGCTTTCTTTCGTTCGTTCTCCTCTGTTGTGTAAGACCTTGGGTAACGGACAAATCCAATTGTTTTTTTGTTTTTCTTCAAGAGTTCACAGGCATGCTTCTTCGCAGCTATAACCTTTGGCCAATCGTATATCATGCGTTGACATTTGAACGTAAGTTGATCTTTTACTTTGAGTCTAACTCTGGTGCTATTTTCAGGCATTTTCGAATGCGTTGAAGAAAAAAAAAATGTCATTAAGATTAAATAAATTGATCGCATGACGGGTGAAGGCATATTAGTCTTGAGTGAAATGATAGTGGATGGATAACTAAGAAGACGCTGGAATCATATTGCTTTTTAAATGGTCATCTAATAACAGTTCAAAATTACTTCTACTCTTCTCATTCTGTAGTGATTAAAGTCGCCGCGTAGGCTAGTCATGTTCCTCATTCCTCAAGCTCGTCTATGACCCAAGGATACGGCAGTCTCATTAAACATATCAACGCGCGCCCCAAATGCACGACAAACTGTTAGTAGAGACTAGAAATTCCATCTCAATGCTGATCGGATTATCAGTCTTCCGATGCGGATGCGGATGCGCGATTTACGGATTGGATAATAACTCGTTCTGAAAGATCTGGATATCTTGGTCATAGATTTGTGGTAGGCGCCGAATGCATCACGTATCCAATAATTGTGTGAATTGCGTGCAGTTTCCCAGGGATCATAGATAGCAAGATATCGATCAATTACAATCGAGCTTACAACTGAGAAGCACGGCACCAAGTCGTATTTTTTCCCTGCCCCGGTCAACGATATCTCTGTAGCAATACTGGGTATTTACAACCGAAATAACGCCTAGGACCCACCTACTTTCCCTTAGTTCAATTTACTCTGAGGTCAACCTTAATAATGGACTACTCATACATTATGGCAACGTATGGCTTATCAACACAATTACCTCTTGTCCGTTATTGACGTCGTTAATTTTCCCACAGAACCATTGGAATTCGATTGATCAAAAACTCGGATATGTGACGCACACTTACCTGGATTTGTAATGCTGACTCCAGTCTAGATTTTAATTTTTGTGCAGCTTTCAAGCCACGATACTTGATAGGTTTCTCGTATACATTTAAGATAACTCTTTAGGCTTAATAAGTACTAAATCTACGGATTTTATTTCCAAAAACCACTGTTAGGTATTATTGCTCTAGCGGAACAGTTAACCCTCTTCGTAAGTACCCACGAACGGGAAATTTCAAATCCTTTGGCTCTCTAAATATGCCTTCATCGTCGATACACACGAGCTTCGAGACATTTGGTTAAGTCTTGCTTGAACTGAGCCAGCCATATCCAGCTTCGAGTAAGCTAGTTCTCCGAGTTATCAAGTATCTACTGGATAGATTGACCAAGATCGTGTACAACCGCACCATCCAGCCATGGCCGTGTTTGCATTATCACAGGTAACCTCTCAAAAAAAGCCGTGGAGCTCAAGATGCCTCTGAATGTTGAGGCTCCTTCCCTGATTCCAGTACTTCACATGTTTCAATGCTGTATCTATCATTTGCATAATTTTTACCTTAGTTTCCTCATTCATTATGGGCTCGTCCTTAAGTTGTATTGTGTTTTAAGTATTTTTTTTGCTTTGTTCATTAACGTGCTAGGTAAAGTGACTCTCGCAGCACTCCTGCTAGAGCTTAAGGACGAGTGGGGCCGGGCCGGATCAGGTTAACCACCGTAAACTACAGGTAAACCTCGTCCCACCTGAAAAATGGACTGCCTCAGACTTCACAGATGTGTTGAATCATACCAGGCCTGACCGTCCAGAAACTCGCTTTATACACACCGTAGCGCGAATTCCTCGTCAACCTCGACCACCACGCGCCTGAGCCCTTGACATCCTCATTGACTCCGAAATATAAATGTAGTCCAAACTCTCATCGTTTCTCTAGCCTTGCACCTTCATATCGTAACGATGGGTTATAGCCGTCATTAGATATTTGTGTAATCCCCTCGGTGTATATCCACTTTTCTTCCCTCTTTGTACACGTCCTGTTGCATTACGACTTTCCTCATTAGGGCGTGTGTAGTTAGGCGATGTGGCGAGTATGGAGGTGGGTCGCATTTGTAGGATCATCTGATAAATGCTTCGTAGCAAATGTTGTAATCTAACGCTTTTCATCTTTGGACTTCATGGTGAGCAGTAGTTGTGTAGGACGTGATGCCATGCGGGGGAGAGGGAATAGGATGGCGAAAGCCGCTAGCCAGATCTAAGCGATCTGGCCCACTTGTAGATGGAGAAATCCCTTATATATAGACAATACAACACTAACTAGTACAACAACAATAGTAAGTAACTCATACATCCACACCTCAGTTATCTCATACATCGTGACCGATAAACCTCACTCTCATATCTATCACTAAAAGACAAAGCTTCAACAGCAAATACATAAGGAGTTTGAGTTATGTAATCTATTTGAATACGACCCCCAGACAGACATAGGCCCATTCGTGAATCGTATGTTGGTGGTTTTGAGTATTTGTTCGACTTTCTTGCGGTTGTGATGTCTCTGCCGATTCATTTTTCGTTCAAAATACCGAGTACAACTCCTTCAAGCCGAAAATCCATCAAAAAAGTTCATTCCATCATTTTTATTGACTGTAACTCGGCTTCGGGGGAATATTTCACTCCCAGGTTCGTAGAGGGCACCACTGACAGGTGTTCAGCCCTCGTCCTCCATGTATTATGTATGATCTTTCTAGGGGTAGTATTTCATCTACTCATGTAGACTAAGCTAGTCGGCCCACATGACCTTCCTAGTAATGCATTTATATATATATATATATATATACAATTCATTTTTCCTGATTTGGTGCCTTGAGGCCCATGCAGGTTTATCGGAAGATATGTGCTTTTAGCAGGATGACTCAGTTTGACATTTAGAACACTCACACTCAGATTTCATATGCAGGTACCACTCGAGGTTAACCCTTACGGCGTATAACTTCTTCCGTGCATACCTCATCATCTATTGGCAAAAATTAAGCACAACAATATACAAATTTAATATTAACTTTAAAGCTATGTAGATAGTTTATGCTGTCCTTCATAGTCATGGACTCAGTAGGGACATAAAAAAAAAGTCTATTCTCCCGTGCATGTCCCTGCAGGGAAAATCTTGGTAATCCGAGTGTGTTTTCATCATCCCGCAAGCACAATGTCAGCGCGAGAGTGACAGACGTGTGAGTTCAACTAGACTCGTACCAGCTATCCCTCCACCCGACATACGGAAGGTGCTCAGATCCACTCAGAAAGGACATGGGCGAACGACGGAAGGGTGTACCATTGCAGTATCCAACCCAATCTATCCCTACATAGACTTCATTATAACCGGTGTTGTTGTTGTTGTTGTATTCAAGTCCTAAGCTAAAGCTCCAAATCCACTATGAGTACAGGACCGATGTTCACAGCCAGAACTACATCTAAGACATACCCAGCTTGATTCCACCGCATGAACCACCACAAAACCAGCAGTAAGTTAAAAATATGCGCCGACGCGAACTCCTTTTCCCAAAATTGACAAAAGAAAAAGATAAATTGCAAATTATTTAGAATGGGAAGCAATACTCCTCGCCTCGATTCCCATTTTGTCGGGTTTAGTTTCCTGACGAGTTATATTCGATCTCCACTGAGAGTAGGAGATGGATGCACAGGAGAATACCCAAAACAATTGGTATCCTGCGCAAATTGTTTGAAACTCTCGAAGCACTTAGGCCCGAGTAGCTTGTGTAAGAAGGCATTGTGTGACAATGACCCTCTGATTCGACGCGTGATATTTGCGTTGAGTCGACAATGTATGAAGTGGGTAGGGGTGGTTTCCTCCCCACAGGTGCACTCTTTTATAGCGTGTAGATTGTTGAAGCGACGATGGTACGCCGCGAAATTGCCGTGGCCCGTACGGGCTGCAATGAGATGTCGTAACTGTAGCCTAGAAAGCCCCAGTTCTGGTGGTTTACGACGGCGCATGAGCAGATCTAGCTCACGATACCGTGACGGGCAAGTTTCATTCCACCAGCTGTCGAGCAAAGTCTGTCGCTGTCGATGCAATTTTTGGTGTAAAAATGCTATCGTGGTGGTTGCTGGTTTAGTTTCCACGCTGGGAATCGTTCGTAGGGCGGATTTGGCCGCTGCATCTGCTTCCTCATTTCCATGTATTCCTGAGTGTCCTGCTACCCACGTTATTCTTACCTGAGCTAGCCCAGATAATTCGCGAAACTTTCGTACTTCCTCGTGGCTGGTCGAGAACCTGCCCGTGCTCAGTGCATTTATCGCATGTCGACTATCCATCAACACATTAATGCACTGCGTCGTTCCCTTCGCCAGGTACTCCTTCCCTCTTAGATGACCCAACGCTGCTTTAAGAGCTTCCTTTGCCCCCATAATCTCTGCATCTAAAGCCTCTCCACCGTGCTTTATGCCACTTCCTTTTTGAAAGGTTTTCCCATCCAGCTTTAGGAAAAACCCCCAAGCTGAGCGTCCCTTTCCCTCCGATGCTCCGTCCGAGTAAGCACAGATTTCTGACTTTGGCACATTAGTGATCCAAAGTTTACAGGCTTCTACTTGGTCTTTTCTCGAACCAACCTTCGAACCCGGCCGCGATTGATAAAATGGTGGGGCAAGAGGTTGCGCGGCCTCTGCCTCTGGTAGCTGTCTATAAGCACGCTGAGCCCGTGACATTTGAATTTCAGGACGCGCAGATTTTCGATTGTGCTTCTTATATTTTCGCGTACCGACATTTGGGCAAACTGCAGCACGGATCCTAAGCGGATGGCGGTCGTCAAGTGTTTGCATTCTGGCAGAGAGGCGAAGTCGGTTTCCTTCGAGGATTATTTTCCCGGTTGGTATTCCTCCTTCCCTATGTAGTACGGCGTTGGGTGTTGTTCTCATTACCGGTAATGCTGATCTAAGACCCATTAAGACAGCCTTATCAATCATACTACATAGGCCAGCAGTAGGCGGTGTCACCATCCCTCGTATTGTTGGGCGTCTAAGGCCAGGCCACCAGACGTCAGCTCCGTACGTTGCAATTGGGACAATACATGTGTCGATCGCTTTAACCAACACCCCAGGAGCGGCTCCTCGGTAGGCTGTATTGAAGCGACGCATGTGCTGTGCAATTTTCAACGCTTTGCCACACCAGGTTGTGACGTGGTGTTTGAAGTTTAGTCGAGGATCGAGGTACACACCAAGCCAGCGGACATTTTGCGACGGCTCTATGAGAGTTCCG